TGCCTTTTGCAGTCGTTTAACCAGGGTTAATGCATTTTGCACTCGTTTAACCAGGGTTAATGCCTTTTGCACTCGTTTAACCAGGGTTAATGCCTCGTGCAATGCCACACTTCTGTGCACTGAAACAATAATGCCACGGCCGGGGCCCACCAGGGTTATCATTGTTAGTGTATTTTATATTTTTTGTTTGACAGGGCGACCGGCACCATGTAATTCCGAAGCATTTGATTTTATCCATGTAGTTCCACCTGGATGTGAACTGTGGTCTGTATTTCAACAGTTCGTGGGTGTACCAACTGACCAAGGCCCGCTGGTGCCGCTAAAGATTCCGCTGAGTAATGACCAGTACTCTTGATGATTCGCGGTCCGGTGCTAAAATGCGTTTGCCTACCAGACCTGGAAATACAGATGCAGCTCAACCTGAGATATATTGGATAGTAATTTCTGAAAGAGTGAGCTATATATACTGTAATGGTCTTGACCAAGAACGACATTGCAGGTTCGAGTTCCGCCCATGCGAGTGACCGATGAGGTCATTCTTCTTTGATGTACTGATCGTGGATCACGCGCTCCATTTGCGTTCCACGTGCCGTATTTTTAATGGACGTGTTTCTGCATTTTCGTGTGCCGTATTTTTGACGGACGCGCGCTCCATTTGCGTACCACATCACGTATTTTTGGCGTGAGAAAAACTCGAGCCAAAACTTTTGATGGACGTCTGTGAAGTGTATGAATTATGGTTATCCTGTCCTTCTTTGCGTACAGCATTTTATCTTGTCGGTGGGTTCTTCTCTTAGTTGTGCCTGTGACGGGTACGAGGGTAGGGTTTTGACATGAGCCTTACTTACAATACTCTAGCATTTCATGAGTGCAGCTTAGTGCGTTCGCTGCCAGATGGTCTGTATGAATACCTGAAAGAGGTCCATCCGGTCCACGTGGCATCTAATATTGTGTGACGTGAAGGATTATCTCCATGCAGTCCTTCCACGTGGCAACTCATATTGCTATGTGCAGTAATTGCATGCTTGCGGTCCGCAGACACACACTCACATAAGCACACGCACAGACGCACAGATGCATGTATGTAAGTTATCGATTGCCGGTGAG